TAAACGATTTACATGGAGAAGGAAAAACCCTTTTAAACAATCTAGATTAGATTTCTTTTTGATTTCTGAAAGCCTTATAGATGACATTTGTGAAGTAAACATTGGTAATAGCTACAGGTCAGATCATTCACCAGTGATTTTGACTTTAAAAATAAATGACTTTATAAAAGGCAGAGGCCTCTGGAAGTTTAATAACTCTCTCCTTCAAGATCCTGAATATGTAAAACTAATAAAACAACAAATTACTAACACAGTTGAGCAATATGTAATGCCAGTGCATAGAGTGGATGCTTTACATGGTATTGATACTTTGGATATTGAATTTTCAATTAATGACCAATTATTTTTGGAGACCCTTCTCCTTGAGATTAGAGGTGAGACTATTTCTTATTCAACATTTATAAAAAGAGAAAGGACAAAACAGGAAATCCAACTGACTGAGGAGATACAAAATTTAGAAAATAAGGTAAGTACAGAGGACACTCTTGATGAAATAGAAGCCAAAAAATGTCAACTTAGAATTTTGAGACAGAACAAGGTTAAAGGTCAATATGTTAGGTCAAGAACCCAATGGATTGAAGAAGGAGAGAGGCCCACTAATTTTTTTTGTAATTTAGAAACACAAAACTTTGTCAATAAAACTATTAAAAAACTAGTTACTGATGAAAATACTGTAGTAGAAAATCAAAAAGAAATCTTAAAACAATCAAAAATATTTTATGAGAAACTTTACAAAAGACAAGAATGTCTTAAAAAAGTAAACTTATCAAGGGAATTACCATCTTTGACATCTAAATTAAATGATATCGAAAAAGAATCATCAGAAGGTAACATTTCTTTTACTGAATTAACACAAGCTTTGAAAAGGATGAAAAATAATAAAAGTCCTGGGTCAGATGGTTTTACTGCAGAATTTTTTAAAGTATTTTGGATAGACATTGGAAAGTTTGTCTTGAGGTCAATAAATTATTCATAGCAGATAGGGGAAATGTCTGTCACACAGAGGCAGGGAGTTATCACATGTATTCCAAAAGAAGGCAAGTCAAAACAGTTCTTAAAAAATTGGCGTCCAATTACACTTTTGAATTCAACATACAAACTAGCTTCTAGTTGTATAGCTGAGAGGATAAAGTCAGTTCTAAACAGATTTATTGACTCTGATCAAACAGGCTTTATCCCGGGTAGATTTATTGGGGAGAACTGTAGACTTATATATGATATTTTACACTTTACAGAAGAAAATGATATCCCTGGTATATTATTACTCATTGATTTTGAGAAGGCCTTTGACTCTATATCATGGGCCTTTCTCTTTGAAACACTGAAGTATTTTAATTTTGGAGACTCTATTATGAACTGGATAAAAACATTTTATAATGATATTACATCTACTGTCACCCAGAACTGCTGTCTGTCAGACTTTTTCCGTGTGGAGAGAGGCTGTAGACAGGGGGATCCTTTGTCTCCTTACCTTTTCTTGCTATGTGCTGAAATATTAGGCATTTTAGTAAGAAGTAGTGATGAGATAAAGGGTATTACGATAGATGATTCAGAGTATATCTTGTCTCAATATGCAGACGACACATCACTTATTTTAGATGGGTCGCCTTCCTCACTGGATGCATCTCTCCGTATATTACAATTCTATGCTGAGATATCAGGACTGAAAATTAATTTAGACAAAACAAACGTTATATGGATAGGTAGTAAAAGACATAGTCAAGACAAAATATGTGTAAAGTGGGGACTGAAATGGGGTTTCAGTACCTTCAAATTATTAGGTATCACTTTCTGTGTTGATTTAGATAGAATGTTAAATCTAAACTATGCTCCTCGAATACAAGAAATAGAAAAAATATTACAAAAATGGTCAAAACAGTCACTTACCCCGTTTGGTAAAATAACAATTATAAAGTCACTAATTATATCAAAATTAAATCATCTGTTCCTGTCCATCCCAGGTCCAGATGATAATATGATACGTCAACTTAATAGTAAAATTTATTCATTCATTTGGGATGATAAGCCTGACAAGATAAAGCGGGATCTTCTATGCCAAGAATACTTTAGAGGGGGCCTAAAAATGATTAATTTGAGACATTTTATACAAGGGTTAAAACTTACTTGGGTTAGAAGATTATTTAAGTCAAAATCCAAATGGATCCAATTATTTACCTCCACCCAAAATATAAATTTTACAGAGTCGGCTTATTTTGGAATTATTAAAAAATCAAAAAACAAATTTTGGGATGAAGTTTTTCATGCCTGGAAAATTATGTCAAAACTCAGACATCCATTTCATTTTGAGGAAGTCATTTCGACATCTATATGGCATAACGAACATATTAAAATTGATAACGTCAGCGTTTACTATAAAAATTGGTCACATCATGGGGTATGGACTGTAAATGACCTGTTAGATGAACATGGAAATATATTAACATATGAAAATTTTGAAATTATGTATAATTTCAAACCCATGTTTCTACAGTTTTATGGGCTTATATTAGCACTAAAAAAATGGCTACAAGCCATTGGAATCAACACCGAAAGAGAGAAAAAACATCAGGCTATTATACCTTTCAACATTAATATTTTCTTTAAGTCCGAAAAGGGCTCAAAGGACATGTATACTATTTTAAATCAAGGAACTTTACCTATAGATTTTGTAGCAGAAAAAAAATGGGAAGGTATTCTTAATAAAGTTATAGAAAATTGGAAAAAAATACACTTGTGTGTTACCAAGGTTTCAAAAAATACTAGGTTATGTTGGTTTCAATATAGAATTATTCATTATATCTTAGGGACTAATGCTCTACTCTTTAAAATGAAACTTGTTAACTGTAATTTGTGTACATTTTGCAAGGAAGAGCTTGAAACTATAGAACATTTACTTTGGGGTTGTCATATTGTAGCCGACATTTGGCACAATCTAAATTCTTGGATTTTCGATATAGTTCATATAGAAATAGCACTAAATTTGAATATTGTCATTTTTGGCCTCTATGAAAATTATAAATTGAATTTTATTAAAAATAAAGTTATCTTACTGACAAAGTATTTCATTTACAGATGTAAGATGCAAGACATAAAACCTCATATTAAAGGTCTTCAAAATTACATAAAAGAAAACTTGATTTTAGAGAAACATATTTCTTCAAAATATTTAAGTATGGAAGAACACAACTTGTACTGGAACCCCTGGGCTAAGATCATTAATTAAATTTAAATTAGGTTAATGTATATACATATGTGTATATATATGAGTATTTGAAAGAACTTGTATACTGGTAGTTATACCATATGCTTGCTCTACTATTACTATTATTACTATATTAATGAAAATGTTATTACTATACTTCATTCATAGATTTCATAGTGTTAGTCCATAGAATGCTTATCATGCTTATTTATTTCACTTGCTTGATTATTGTACCACAAGATAAATATATGTTGATACCTGTAAATTCATGAAGAAAAATAATAAATTATAAAAAAAAAAATCTTAAATATCTAAATCTAGACAAGGACACGTATTTCTAATAATATTTAATTTATTTAAAGTAAGTTGCTGTTGGTAAAGTTCACCAGCATATTTTGAGAATTATTGATTATCTAACGAAAAAATATCATCAAGATAACGGTAAGTATTGTTGAATCGATCAATTAAATGGAATTTACACGGGTCATACTGAGTTTGGCCATACACTGTGATTCATAACAGTACAGGAACACGACGGTCATCAGAGGGGCACAATTGGTGCTTATAGGAAGACCTACAATCTGTCGATAAAGTTTATACCCAAAACGTACATAAATGTTGTTAAGACGAAAATGTATGGCTGTAAACATCTCAACACTCCTCCAGTAAGTATGTCTAGCATATTTACCATTTTTCCGTTTGAGAAAAGGGTTTTTAATGAAAAATAAATGTGCAATTAGATTGACTGGACAACCATTTACTTGAAAAAGGAAAACTGTTGTTTGATAATTTGTGAGGAAGTGTACTGTAAATAGTGGAACAGTCAAAACTAACAACCGAATCAAAAGGATCGTCAAAACACGTGATTTATCGAAAATATCTAGAGAATGTTTTGCTATCCAAAAATGGTTCATTCCACTGTTTTCATAAGTTTTATTAGCAAAAGTAATGATCCGTTCTTTGATAGTAATTAAAGAACTCGTTGAAAGAACTGACATTCTAGTAGTAGAACACTTATAGGCCGAGATGAAACGATAGTTGACGGTGTTTTGGTAGTTTATGTAACAAATACATATTGGGGACCTTCAAATGTTCAGAAGAGGCCTTAAGCTCAGCTGTGGTTGCGACATGTTTATTTACTATATGACTCTCTGTGGAGCGTTCTGCCTGTAATATAGTTGATTGTTTAATTTCATTCTAAATGACGTATGCCTATTTGTTAACTAAAATTCCGCTAGAAGCGTGCAATTACGTATACTCGCCTGAAAATATTGTTAAAGGATGTTCGAACCTTTTGATTTTTACATTTTTTGCCAGATATTCGGAATTCTCTGGTGTTTTTCCATGTAGTGCCATTAAAAAATGTTGCCCGCAAACCCCTTATTTTGTTTGCATATTTTTATAACATATAGTTTTAAATGCCATATTTGAAAATTTTATAAAATCCTTGTTATTTTTTCATACTTTTGAAAGAAAGAAGGTGCCTGTGTTAAATTCATGAAAAATCTAAAGAGAACCACTTCCAGCCATATTTTCAAAGGCTTATATCGTGAAAACAACCGCATGAACCCTTCGTTATTTTCTGCTTGTTTAGTTTATTTATTCATAACATTTCAATTTGTATCAGTCTTTTACAATTCGTGTTATTTCGAAACAGAGGAGCGAATTTCCTCAAGCACTTCGCCATCCTTAACAATAAGGAGTTAATAAACAGAAGAAAAAAATAGAAAAAAACCATCATTCTAGTAAAACGAATTGCAAAGTGTATATTATGGCGTAAACAAGAATAACTCATATGCAAATATAAGCATAGTATTCTATAAAACAAGAACAGTAACATACATATACAGAATACTAAAATATGTATAGCAGTTTCAAGTTTGAAATATAAAATAATTTGAATCTACATGATAATGAGCTACATAATCGAAACAATGGATTATTCCAATATTTGTCTGATTGTCGATTTTAGATGAAAAAGTATAGTGTAAGGTATAGACATTTAACATTCATATCGCGCATGATTAGACAACAAGAAAATCAAAGGTACAACTAAACAGTACATTTAAAAAATTTTGGAATCAATTGACTTCAGAGTGTAATGCTCTACAATACGTAAAGGTCTACAGCCAGATGAATTGTAAGATTTTAAGAAAAAGTAAACTAATTTGAAGGATTGCATGATGTAATATTTCTAGCAAAGGACACTAATAAAAAACAAATAATAACAGTGTAACGATTCTAAGCAGTGAAATACAACTAGCTCATTTGAAACTAATATATGTGAGTATATTTAGTTATTATCAGTTATAAGAAAATATAACATTTTGAATGATTAGTGTGATTCAAAATGTACGACATAATTCTTTTGTGGATAAACTATGTGTTTGTACATTGTTAGCACAGTTTGTCTTATCATGTTATCACAATCAAACATATTTCAATTAAAAAATTAACATACAAATAAAACAAGAAACATTATATTCAGATTGTTTTCCGTTGTTGTATCATCACAAGGAAGTGTTTTTTATCCTTCCTGTTTCTTGCAAATGTTGTTTACTGGCTGACTAGTACATCATTCTGAATAGATGAAAAGAATGTTTTGTGTTTTACTTATAATATATATTTAACAATTATCATATTTGCTTCACTACAATAATGTATATACATGATTTTATTAAAGTGTGTTGTATGTTCCTTCAATGCCATTTGTTTCCCCTTTTTCAAACGAATTGCAAGTTAAAACATTTTTCTTCAACGGTGTGAATGAATGCTTGCTTACATGGTAGCAGTTTTGATGTCCTCAACATAAACTTCTGTATTTTTAGGTTATAGATAACAAACCAGTTTGATATACTTAACAACTCCTTAAGGACTGTTATTGGTTCATTTGTTTGTTTGTTGATCATCTTGTATTTGGTCACGATTTGACTCAATAAATAGTGTGGACTGATGATGCTTACGATCAGTTTTATGGAAAAGTAGTCATACAACTCAAAGCTTCAGATGTGCTATCATTTCAACAAGAACATCTTCTCCCCTTTCAAAAGTGATATTATAGATCCTCTAATAACAGTACATGCTCGTTCTGTACTTTGATTAATATATATAGTTACTTTATGTGTTGAAATTATCTGTAACTGATGAGTATGTATCCGGTCTATAAGAGTACCAATCTTTTCAAATGAAACCGATTTATGTCAGAGACGACCATACCACTTAACTAAACGAATAGTGTCCTTCATAAGTACCAGCTTGCAAACATAAATTATGTAATTCGTTATCTTCTTACAAAAAAAGAGTTTAAAGAGACTACCGCAGCAAAATGCCATTTTGTGCATATCCTTATTCATCAGTTATTAATTAGATGTATTGTACTTTTTCATGTCAAATTTCAAGTATGAAACAAATTATTTGAAAATATCATGTTATACTGCGTGTATAGCTATCAGTAGTACACTTTTGTATAATCATTATATGTACTTCTTTTGATGACTATTGCATATAATGTACATCCGCGCCATCGAAGAAAAATATAAATCGTAATCATTATCTTCAATACTTACCCTCCACAGGTACAGCTACAATGAGAACATATATCATCGTCGGACTTTTGTCAAAATTTATTGACCTATCGGACCTAACAGTGTAAGTTCTATAGTTTGAAATGGTTCACATATTTTCATTTTGGGATTTTTTTAGCTTTCTTAAAATACGGTATTTGTATTGCTCACTATTGGAAAAGCCCCTAATGTGACTTATTGCAACTACCATCAACATAATTTACTCTATATTAGGTAGCTGTCTCATTGACAATTCTACCACAATTTGTAATGTTTAGTCTATTGGCTCATAAATTAATGACTGCACACATAATTTATCAAATTAAAATATTCAAGTTTAATTGATTTTTTAACGAGCAAAGTAACAGTGTTATCTATGCATCTTGATAACAATTTTCAAGCATTGCAACTATCACCTTTTTCCACTTTTATAAGAAGACTGCCATTTGTCAAATGATTCCTATGACAACAAATGCTCAAAGTTTTTAGTTTACGTTTTCGATTTGGTACTTGACAGTTACCGACTAAAGTTAAATAATACATATATTTGAAATAGTAATGGTATGATATATATATATTAAAAAACACAAAGGACAACACATGTTTTTATTTTTGTAATTCTGGACCTATGTTTTAAAAACAGACGTCATACATTTATTATTAATCAAGAACAACTTTGAATGGCGACGATTAATCAAATAACCAGGAATTCTGGTTTACAGCATAATATGTACATATCGAGAATTAATACATTAATTGGACATATAGATATATAAAATGAAAGGAATAATGAGAAAGAAGTCACAAGATCATAATATGTTGTTACAATTTAGACATATTGTCACCTTTCTTCAGAAATACGGACATACTAAACATATACGATATTTGGAGAAATAGGAATATCGTTACGCAGTTAGATCATTCAGCTCATTGCAACCTGCATAATTAAAAGCATTATTCTAGTTTCAAAGACTATCGTCATGTTATGAATTGCGAGATAATTGTAAACTATACTTATCTGTTTGAAACTATTCACTTACGTACTGCAAAAATAATAAAATCAAGTAAATGATCATACAATACAGCACACCATCTAGCAATGAGTTATAGAAGCCACCGTAGTATAAGTAGTAAAGTGATAGTAGAACTGACATTTTTTTGTTGAATGTTATAGTCAGTAATCATGTCAAAATTAATATTTTGTGTTTGTAATATTTTATTATAACAAACATATAATGTTTTCTGAAGCACTGGTTGAACTTCAGTCTTATGTGTTTGTTATATTTTATAATAACAAACGTATAATGTTTTCTGAAGCACTGGTTGAACTTCAGTCTTCTATTGCCTGTTTTGTCTTATTGTCATCACAAATAACAAATGCAACGGAAAAACATGTTTGTTCTTTTATCAATTAAAAAATATAAAACTTTCATACGTGTGTGATAATTAGTCAACTGTCCATATCAAAGGTTATAAAACTTTCAAACATTGTCCGTTTACAGATACATGTACAACATTATAAACCTTATCTCTTTAATAAGTTTCTATACTGTTTTTGGTGGGGTTCGTGTTGCTTTGTCTTTAGTTTTCTATGTTGTGTCCTATGTACTATTATTTGTATGTTTGTCTTTTTATTTTTGGCCATGGCGTTGTCAGTTTGTTTTCGATCTAAGAGTTTGACTGTCCCTCTGGTATTTTTCGTCCCTCTATTATGGAATACTTTGTTATTACTGGCAGTATATTTGTCAGATTATTAAGTCGTAATGATTTACCTACACAACGTGTAAATTAATTTGGAAGCATTTTGTCTAAATAAAGTTATCAATCTTTTTGTTTCAATATATTATTCGTTCGGTTAAAGACATTTATAACATTTAGATTTGTAACAATAACAAATATTACATTGAACATATTCACGAAAGTATTTAATACTTGAAATATTTTTTTGTTATACATGTTATAATACTAGAGAAAAAACAAGGTGTTGTTAAAGATATTTATAAACAACAATACGAATTGTCTATTTGTTCACGTTTGAATTTAGACTACTTAGCATTTCATTTAAAATCATACTAATCAAAATATCGCATTGCTTCTAATATACGAATGGATTTTGTTACTTCTATATAATTGCGTCTTTATTGGTTAGAACTTTTTTTATATTTTCCAATTTCAATAAAAACACCATACTCAACATGCACTATCTATTGTCCTTTCATTTTTCATTATTTGTAAACTAATCACAATATAGTTATCCTTATGGTAAATAACACTTACTGTGCACTGAAAAATATAAATAAAAATACAAGTTTAAAATCTGAGGAATAATTTAAGACAATCATGATACAGCAAATACTCATCTCAAAAACACCAGTTTATAAATTTTACTGAATATGTTCAGCACATTGTTTAAAGTGTTTTAGTTTTCTTAACTAGAAACTGTGTTTTCTTGAATGTGGTAGCTATTCAAACGAAGTATAGATATCAAAAATGACAAACCAAGTGGTGAACATGAATACCTATATCCCAAAAATAGTTGTAAAGTCATTATCTTCTCTTTTAGAGTTTATACAAATCACGATAGCATCAATTTTGTCTATAGGTATTTTGTATCTATGGTGTCCAGTAGTAAATTATATACCAATCATAGTAGAACAAAAAATTGAAATGTATATTATGAAAATACTAGCATATTGATAATGTGATGTTCTTTTGCTGATCGCCTATTGATGAGTAGTTACTGCATAATCAGGAGTATATACATGGTATGTAGCACAACATTCTATTTTTTGAAAAGCAATTAAATGATAGGTATAATCAAAAAGAATAAACAAGACTAAACATAAAGTCGCAATTTTGACATCGGTTAACTACTGTCTCCTTAATATAAAGATGAGGATATACCAAGATGTGACACTCGGGAAAATGTTAATATTTTCACGTAATTAGCATATTCAGTGGCTGCATACATAAATAATCACATGGTTCAAGCTTTATAAACTAGTAATCGCCTGTCATTACCAAGTCATATTATTTCATAATGTATTCTCATATTTCATACTTGACAACAATAATTTAAAAATACAATTTCTTATAATCTTTCCAAAAGGTTTATTTTAAAGAAAAGCAGATAAAAGTGTTTTACTAACCCATTTTTATATACTTTTTTCGACTATTTCTCTCTTAAAATGGTATGTTTATTGTTTTACTTTACTACACTACGTTCACCATTATATAAATAGTGTTATATTATAAATTGCATATATAATTGTACGCTATACTTATTTGTTTGCTACTTGACACTTACCCGCTGAAAAATTCAATTACATATTAATAGAGTACAGCATACTATTTAGCAATGAATTATTACAACGAAAACGGAATTAATTGAATTTGTGGTAAAGTGATAGTAGAACATTTCGAGATGACAGCTTGGTCTGTCAGATTATTCAATAGTAAAGTCATTAGTCATGCCAAATATTGAAATGTGATATTTGTATGATTTCAAAGTGTCGCTTTATAAATTTAGAAATTATAAAGAAACTTAACTTTTAACACCCTCAAGCAATGTTGACGTTAAGTTGATATAATTATTTTCGTGTATGTTCTCATTGGTCATATACTTGAACTATGTTGATTATTATACGTTCTATGATTTAAACATTTCTGCTTTGAGCGTTTCCCGTTAAGGTAAATTTAGAAAACAGCACATGAAATCAATCCCGGTTTTTTGTATACTGTTGTTTGTCGTTTTGTCTGTTGAGGTTCATGCCATGGCGTTGTCAGTTTATGTTCGACTAATTAGTTTGAATATCTGTTTGGTATTTCCGCCTCTTTTGTAGACGGAACGCGTGTCTATCACACATCATTTTCATGGTATGTTTATTGGTTTACTTTACTATTCTACTAAAAACATTATATAAATATTGTTATATTATAAATTGCATAGATAATTGTACGCTATACTTATCTATTTGCTACTTGACACTTACCCGCTGAAAAATTCAAATAAATATCCTTAGACTACAGCATACCATTTAGCAATGAATTATTACAACGATAATGGAATTACTTGAATTTGTAGTAAAGTGATAGCAGAACATTTCGAGATGACAGCTTGGTCTGTCAGATTATTCAATAGTAAAGTCATTAGTGATGCCAAATATTGAAATGTAATATTTGTATGATTTCAAAGTGTCGCTTTATAAATTTAAAAATTATAAAGAAACTTAGGTTTTAACACACTTAAGTAATGTTGACGTTAAGTTTATATAATTATTGTCTGTTCTCTATGGTCTTATACTTGAACTATGTTAATTATTAAACGTCCTTTGATTTAAACATTTCTGCGTTGTGCGTTTCCGGTTAAGGTAAATTTAGAAAACAGCACATGAAATCAATCCCGTTTTTTTTTGTTTTTTGTGTACTGTTGTTTGTCGTTTTGTCTGTTGAGGTTCATGCCATGGCGTTGTCAGTTTATGTTCGACTAATTAGTTTGAATGTCTGTTTGGTATTTCCGCCTCTTTTGTAGACGGAACGCGCGTCTATCACACATCATTTTCATGGTATGTTTATTGTTTTACTTTACTATTCTACTAACACCATTATATAAATATCGTTATATTATGAATTGCATAGATAATTGTACAGTATACTTATCTGTTTGCTACTTAACACTTACCGGCTGAAAAAATCAAATAGACATTCATAAAGTACAGCATACCATTCAGCAACAAATTATAGAAACGACAATGAAATTAATTGAATAAGTAGTAAAGTGAACATGTTAAGATGACAGCTGGTTCTTTCAGATTATTGAATAAGTATTGTCATTAATCATGCCAAATACTGAAATGTGATATTTGTATGATTTCAAAGTTTCGCTTAATAGATTTAGAAATCATTAAAAAACTTAGATTTCAACACATACAATTAAAGTTAACCTTAAAGGAGATGTGGAATGATTGCCAATGAGACAGCTATCCACCAAAGTTCAAATGAAGTGAATGTAAGCAATTATAGGCAACCGTACAGCCTTCAACAGTGAGAAAAACCCATATCGTATGGTCGGCTATAAAAGAACCCGACATGAACAATGTGAAACAATTCAATTGAGAAAAATAACTGCTAATTTATAACAAAACAATTTACAAAAAAACAAATGTAACAGACATGAACCAACGACAACTACTGAACTACCGGTTCTCTATGGTCACATAGTTCAACTGTTTCGGTTATCACAAATCCTTTGCTTTAAACATTTCTGCTTTGAACGCTTTCCATGAAGGTAAATCATCAACAAACAGTACATAAAATCATATTCGGTTTTGTGTGTTTTGTATACTGTTTGGTGTCTTTTTGTCAGTTTAGGTTTTAGACATGGCGTTCTCAGTTTATTTTCTACCTTT